ATTTAAGCCATATGTGGATAACATCTAATTGCTAATAATGGCTGTGCGATACAAAATGTAAGATACGATTTCCCATGTTAATGACATAAAAATTAGAAATCAATGGATATTATTATGTCAATACATGCTACCTTATGTTCAAATAAGATCACTGAAAGAATTTTTAAATTATTTCAATTAATAAAGAAATGACAGTGTTTTAAAATTTATGATTTAGGTACAGTAATTGCCAAAAATGGAAAAATTCAAAACGCTGCCATTTCTCTATTAAGTGGAATAATTTAAAAATTCTTTCAGTGATATTATCTTAGATTTAATTTCCAATAAATTACATTATCTTAGATATCATCATGACTTGTCAGTAAATTGTGCGAGTATAATTGGTAATAAAACAAACTACATATATGTATATGACCATATCGACCATTTGAATTGATAAAATTGTGCGAGTATCATAAACTAGTCCAGTTGATCCAATGATAATCAATTTGTAACATACACATTTTGCACATGAAATGCATTTATGGTAAAGACAAATATGTTTAATTTTATATTGCAATTAACCTTATCATATCCATCATAAATAAATATATTTTGAGCTAATAATTTTTTATTGTTTCCACTTTGTCATAATAAAGTTTGACATTTTAATTATAGTAAATACATTATAATTTATTATTTATATAACCATAAACATCATAATAAATTTGTAATTACTAGACATGTATATTAGTAGGCACTTGAATGTCTTTTTGATAGCTAGGTTTACTAATCTTAAACTGTTTAAACCGGCTTTAGTTAATTTAATCATATAAACCGGATTAATTTGAAAAAAGGTGCCGTACCAGGTTATATTTTATTGTTGCAATAAAGGTTTAGCAAATTGTATTATCCTAATTATATCTCCAGATATTATTACCTTACCTTTTTTGGTCCGAAAAATTTATTTTTTAACGTCATACCCCTATAAGTTGGGCAATAAATGGGTTATAAATTTATATTGTTTATGATCATTATATATTTAAATTTATCTATTTCATAATTTTATAATAGCAAATAAAACTATATATATAATATTCAGTATCCATCAAAAATATTGCTTTTTCAATCTATTTGATTTATAAACTATTTGTTTATAAATTATAATACATGAAATGAAGCAAGTATATTTTTCAGCGCTATTACTTATTTCCTTTTGTGAGATATATGGTAAGTGTTAACGCCTGCGATGCGCATGTATTGTAATCCGGGGCACATTAGAAGTGACAAAACTGTAAACATTATAACATTTAGTAACATAACAAACTGTGAGTATTGGGATTAACGTTAAATATTTAATACTAAGTTTTGTCACTCTTAGTGTGGCCTGAATTTACCCGAATGCCCATTTTAGGTTTACTCAATGTAGCAAGCATGATTTAATTCAATTAACGTGAATTTAGAGGTGATTTCCCACTCAACACCACTCCATGCTTGTGGTGATAGCGGTTGGGTTGCCTATGAAGACGTGAAATGCTTTAAACTTATCGAGGAATTTAAAAATCGCGACGAAGCCGAACACAAATGTAATGAGCTAAAGGTGCATGGTGATTGCTCCAGACCGACATTAGCTAGCGTAAAGTCGCTTAGCGAGCAAGATTTTCTTGATAATCATTTCAGTAACGCCTTTGCAAGTGGTGAGAGTGTTTGGGTTGGGGCTAAAAGGGTGTCCGAAAACTGTAGTCAATTTGTATGGAATGATGGCTCACCCGTTGGTTTTGTTAACTGGGATACCGAATGCCCGGCTGAAGTGTCTGAGGGCAAGGATTGTGTACACATGCAGTCAATGTACTCAAGGCAATTGTCTAGTGTTTCTAAATCCCAAACCAAACCATTTCATCGTAACGGTATGTGGAGAGATGTCAAATGTAGCAAGCGAAACTACTTTCTATGCGAAAGGTTGCAGACCTGGTCATGCTCGCAAACACAAACCACAATTTTACATGTTAGAAACGAACTGATGAATGTCATAGATCAGCTAAAAAATACCCAAAATGAACAAAAAGTCACCCAAAATGAATTAAAAGTTACCCAAAAT